GTGGGGTGCGGGGGCTGTTTATATAAGGTTCTGTTCCCGGCTGACACTGAGATGCAGCCACCTCCAGGTGGGGCATCTGTTTAACAGCAACCGAGGGAAACACCCGGGTAGCTAATTTAAAAGAGTCTGAAACCAAATGGGGATTAACCAGAGGCAGAATGTACCATACCAAGCTAGGGGCCGGCCGGACACCGGGGTTCCTGCCCCGGCTCTCACCCAATGACCAGGGGTCTGCCCTGATCTGCATGGATCCAGCACAGCGAGTTCTAACCCACTAGACCCGGCAGTCACAGTCCCAGCAGGAATCTGCCCCGGGCTCGCCCCTTCCGCCACTGGCTGGGGACATATGTCCGAGCGGCCGCGCCCACTTTTCAATGGGACCCTCTCCCCTGCTCTCCACGGCTCTCACCCAGCCCCGAACAGGGGCCGACCAGCTGGAGGTGGAGCAAACTCACCAACTGGAAACTTCCTGTTGTGGAAGATCCGCTCAGCAATCAGCCTCCCAGCACAGCCACCGGTGCCCACACACAGGGGGCAGAGCTGATGTTCCACTGGACTGGGGCAGAGCGGGGCAGGGTCTGGCTGGGGTGGGAGACTCAGGAGGGCCCGGCAGGGTCGGCTCTGGCTTTTTTGCCGCCCCAGGCAGAAAAGCCTCCTGCAGCTCCCAGCCACCTGCCCCCGGAGCGCGGCAGGGGAGGGCGCCGAGCCCGGACGCAGGCCGCTCTCCCCGACCAGCCGGAGCACCGGGGGGACGGCGGCGAACCCGCCACGACTCCTCTGGCGGCCGGAGCCTCGGGAGGAGGGCAGAGAGCCCGGCCGGGGCTCCATTCTCCCCGGTGCCCGGAGCGCCGGGGGAGGGCGGCGAGCCCACTGCAGCTCTGCTGTACCCGGCGGACGGAGCTGGATCACCGCGCTGCCCCCCTCCAGGTGCCACCCTAAGAACAGGCTTGGTGGGCTGGTGCCTGGAGCCGGCCCTGGGGCCCGGCCATCGGGGCTAGTCCCAATGCCCCTAGGGGGTGCTGTGTTTCTTTTAGTTCTAGGTTTCTCCCAAACCCTTGTGTATCTCAACACCGGGCAAGGAGTCCTTGTATAAACAGCCCCCGCGCCGCACCCCAGAGGCAGCCAGATCTCAGCACTGGGGAGAGGTCCCTGTGTAAACAGCCCCCCTGAGCCAAGTCAGATTCAGCTGCATCTCAGCTCTTAAATCAAAGGGTGGTGTCTATGGGGGACCGTGGAATCCAGCTGCTTCTCCTGATCCAGGTGATAACCTGGGTCACATCAAAAGGGATTTCCCCGATTAAGTGACCTGGGACCTGGGAGACGTTTGAGGAACTGAGAGACAGAGAATAAAAGAGACCCTAGAGGGGAAGGACCCCTGGCCCCACTGCCGAGAACCAGCCAGTGCCCCACCCTGGAGCAGATTGGAGCCAGGGCCCCCTACAGGGAAAAGGACCCAAGCCCCATTCTCTCCGTCCCCAGCCAGTCCCCCTGCGGTGGGGCAGAAGCCGGATGTCCCTGGGAGCAGGCCTCTGTCTGTGACAATCTCCCGCTTGTGTCGATGGCACCGAGATCTCCAGCCACTGGAACGGGCTTCTGCAAGGCATTCTAGGGCTAGAATCACACGCTGACTTCCCCTTCCTGTCTTGAAATCTCACATCTCGCCACAGCCCACACCCTGACACTCACGCCTGCTCTGTCCCAGGCAGATCTTCACATGCACTCAGCTCTTCAAATTGGAGTCGTGATTCACTAGCTGTCCTAATCGGGCACCTGTTGTTCCAGTGCGCTGTTCCCAGACACCCCAACGCAGAGGCGGAAGCATCTCAGCTCCGGGTGAGCAACCCCTGGACAGTGTTGCTGTGTGGCTGTTCCCCAGCTGCCCCGCCTGGAGGTGGCTGCATCTCCGCTCGGGGTGAGTGATTAGCGTCTGCAGCATGTACAATAGGAGAAGAGGTGTGAGCTGCTAGTGTTCAAGTATTAAAAGAAGTAATGAAGGGATAGAGCTGGGACAGGCGGCTGGGAGTCAGGACTCCTGGGTTCTATCCCCAGCTCTGGGAGTAGAGTGAGATATAGAGGGTCTCGAAGCCAGGACTCCTGGGTTCTGTCCCTGGCTCTGGGAGCAGAGTGAGGTGTAGAGGGGCTCAGAGCCAGAAATGCTGGGATCTATTTCCAGCCCCACAAGCAATATGCAGCCTGCCCCTGTTGCAGGGAAGCCACGGGCAGGGCCAGCCAGAAGGAGGGGAATTTGGGCAGGATGCTGGTGCTGGGGTTCCTGAGAGAGCATCTCACCCCAACCCCCTCCTGTCTGCACCCACTTCTACTTTCACATTCCTGTCCATGCCGCTTCCCCAGGCTCCGAGTCACAAAACCTGGGGAACCCGGGCTGCAGGGTCGGAGACCCAGGCTCTGTGCCCCCCTCTGCAGGTCTAGGGGTGAGTGGAACTAGGGTGGGGGAGGGAGCTGGATGGTCTGTGGCAACTGGCGTGACCCTCAATCCCAACCCACAGCCCTTTGCGATCCCAGCCCTCGCTCCCTGCCCCCACAGCTATGATGGTGCCCTCCAGCCCAATCAGTGTCCCGCCACAGGGGTCCCCCACCATGGGAACCACACTGGAGGTGTTGGCTCCACGGGCCACGTATAGCAGGGGGTTCCCTAGCTCTCATCTCTCAGCCTCCTTCACGAGAACACCTGAGGGCATCAGAGGGATGGTGGGAAATGGAACTCCTCGGGGTTTCCCCTTCCCTATATGGGTAATTTTGGGCAGCAAGGACGGCAGATACCCCAGGTTAAGCACATATGTGCAAACTTCTCACCCATAGTCCAACTGCGCTCACTCCATTGCCCCCTATGGAGTTGGGTCAGCACAAAGTGTGTGGTATGTGGCCCCCCAGGAATGGGGATGGAGTCTGGATCTCTCGGGGCCGGCCCCTTCCCCTCCAGCCCTGGGCAACGGGGACCATCCCACCCTGCTCTGGCAGGGGATGGTGCATGGGCCTCGGGGGAATCCAAGCTGAGACCCACCCAGCTCACTGCAGTGGATGGGGGAGGAGCAGACAGAAGTGAGAGGCTCATCCCGTTTAACAGGAAAAGATGGGGTGGGGGGAAGGTGTGAGTGGCCCAATTCCCATGTGAGGTGGGGAACGTAGGTACTGGTCCCTACCAATCTGACCAGAATGAAGAGGATGGAGGATCCATAACACTGACAAGGAGGAGTTTCCCAGCTGCAGAAAGAGCAGGTTGGAGCAGGGGAGGGGGAAGGCAGCTGTGGGGCAGGGAGGGCAGCATTAGTACCCTCCGCCCAGTTTGCAGACGGGGGAGCCATGAGCTCTCTGCAGCACCCCCACCCCAAGGATGATTTACCCACATCCAGTTCCACTGGGTCCCTGCAGAACCAGCCCCTCACCGTGCGGGGGTGACACCATCACTGTGGGGGGGGGGGGCAGAGCCAACGGGCTGCAAAGAATGGGGTGTTTGGAGGCAAAGCACACATCTGTGGATTTTAAAAGCCAGTTTCAGGATTTTGAAACCTTTTTCAGCCAAGCACATGATTCTTAGAGGAAATCTCAGGATTTATTAGTGAATTTCGGAAGGAGGGGGTTGCCGATGTCATGACATTCACATTAAATCTCGGGATTTTTTAGCAAATCCTGGAATCACAGATCCACAGGTGAGACGGGACCTCAGGGGTCACCTAGTCCAACCCCTGCCAAGGTGTAGGATTGGTTGGGTCTAACCCATCCCAGACAGATGCTGTCCAGCCTCCTCTTGAAACCCTCCAGGGAAGGAGCTTTCATGACCTCCATGGGTGTCTGGTCCATTGTCCAACTGCTCACTCAGCTGGGGAGTTTTCTATGAGATTTAATCTCAATAGACTCTACTGTAGTTTGAACCTGTTGCCTCTTGTCCTGCCCTGTGGGGCGAGAGAGAACAATCTTCTTGATGGCAGCCTTTTCAATATTTGCAAACAGCGATAATGTCCCCTCCCACCCTGCCAATCTCCTTTCCAAACTAACCATGCCAAGTTCCTTCAGGTTGTGCCCCTAGGGCTTCCATACCACCCCTTTCATAGACTCATAGACTCTAAGGTCAGAAGGGACCATTATGATCATCTAGTCTGACCTCCCACATGATGCGGGCCACAAAAGCTGATCCACCAACTCCCGGAAGAATTCTCACTCTTCACTCAGCTGTTAAAGTCCCCAAATCAAGATTTAAAGACTTCAAATTCCTGAGAATCCTCCAGCAAGCGACCCCTGCCCCATGCTGCGGAGGAAAGTGAAAAACCTCCAGGGCCACTGCCAATCTACCCTGGAGGAAAATTCCTTCCCGACCCCAAATATGGCGATCAGCTGAACCCCTCGTATCTGGACCTTTTCCAGTTTCTCTACATCCTTTCTATACATTGGAGGTGAAAACTGGACACAGTCCTCCAGCTGAGGCATAGCGTGGTACTGTCACCTCCCGTGACTTGCATGCTCTGCCTCTGTTCATGCAAAATGACATTGCATTTGCTTTTTTGCAACAGCATCGCATTGCTGACTCATGTCATGGCTGTGATCCGCCACAACTCCCAGCTCCTTTTCAGCAGTGCTCCTGCAAGCCAGTTCTTCCCCATCCTGTATTTGTGCATTTGTGTTTTCTTCCCTAAATGGAGCATCTTCCATTTGTCCTTCATGAATTTCATTGTGTCCTCTACAGCCCAATTCTCCAATTATCAATATTCCTCTGAATTTTAGCTCCATCTTCCAAAGTGTTGGCAACCCCCACTAGCTTTGGGTCATCTGCAGATTTGATCCGTCTGCTCCCTAGTCCTACATCCAGGTCATTGATAAAGATGTTAAACAACACGGGACCCAGAACAGATCCCTGTAGAACCCCACTTGAGACGTCCCTCCAATCCCACGTCATTCCATTAACAGTTACTTCTTGTCTGTGGTTGTTTAACCAGTTCTGTATCCACTTAATAGTAGATCCACCAAGCCCACATTTCTCCATAAAAATGGCCATATTGGGTGAGACCAAAGGATAATCTAGCTCTGTATCCTGTCTTCCGACAGTGGCCAGTGCCAGGTGCCGCAGAGGGAATGAACAGAACAGGTAATCAACAAGTGATCCATCACCTGTCACCCATTTTATAGACCTCTATCATAGCCCCCCTTAGTCGTCTCTTTTCCAAGCTGAACAGTCCCAGTTTTATTAATCTCTCCTTTTATGAAAGCTGTTCCACACACATAATCGTTTTTGTTGCGGTTTTCTGAGCCTTTTCCAATTCCAGTTTGTGAGAGGGCCACCAGAACTGCACGCAGTATTCAAGATGTGGGTGTACCATGGATTTATATAGAGGCAATATGATATTTTCTGTCTTATTATCTAAACCTTTCTTAATGATTTTTGATGGCTGCTGCACATTGAGTGGGTGTTTTCAGAGAACTTCCCATAGTGATTCTCAGATCTCTTCCTTGAGCAGTATCAGCTAATTTATACCCCATCACTTTATATGTGTAGTTGGGATTATATTCCCCAATGTGCATAACTTTGCATTTATTAACATTGAATTTCATCTGCCATTTTGTTATCCAGTGACCCAGTTTTGTAAGATCCCTTTGTAGCTCATCGCAGTCAGCTTTGAACTTAACTATTTTGAGTAGTTTTGTATCATCTGCAATTTTTTCCACCTCACTGTTACGCCTTTTTCTAGATCATTTATGAACATGTTGAACAGCACTGGTCCACATACAGAACGCTGGTGGGCACCACTATTTACCTCTCTCCACTCTGAACATTAGCCATTTATTACTACCCTTGTAACAAATTACTGATCCAGGAGAGGACCTGCCTCGTTATCCCATGACACCTTACCTTGCATAAAAGCCTTTTGGGAAGAACCTTGTCAAAGGCTTTCTGAAAACCTAAGTAAATGGACTGGGTCACCCTTATTCACATGCTGTAGACTCCCTCCAAAAATTCTAGTAGTTTGGCGAGCCATGATTTCCCTTTACAAAACTGGAGGTTTAATACATTGCTCTAGTAGCTTTCCATCTGTCGAGGTCAGGCTGACTGGCCTATAGTTCCCCGGCTCCTCCTTTTTCCCTTTTTAAAGATGCCCACTCTGTTAGTCCTTCTCCTCTCTTCTGAGACCTCTCCTGGCATCCAGGAGTTTGCAAATATTATTGCCAGTGGCTCCAAGATTTCTTCCACTAATTCCTTCAGCAACCTGGGTTGAACAGCTTCCCGCCCCACTGATCTGAATTCATTCAAATTGGTTGGAACATCTCTGACATGTTCTTTACTTATTCTGATTTGTAACCTTTCCCTTTTGTTGTCCGTGGTAACTTCACTGGTCGCTCGCTCACATGTTGTTTTTTTGTGTGAAGACTGAAGCAAAGCAGGCCCTGAGCAGCGCTGCCTTCCCACCATCTTCTGACACCAGATCAGGATTTTCTGGCCGATCTCATGATTCTTAGAGAAAATCTCATTTTTTTTTTCACCAATTTAAGGATTTTTTTAGCCCACGATCTCTCAGGACCGTCTGGTGATTTGGGGATTTCTGTGTGAGTGGGGAGGTCACTGCACTGTCAGCAGCCCCAGATCAGCCCCCTTCAGAGCCCAGCAGTACTGACGGTCCCCCAGGGAGATCTGCGTCCCCAGACAGCCTCTGCTCTCACACTTCTCTGTCTCTAGGTCTGTCCCAGCCGGACGCCCCAGCCATGGACAGAGCCCTGCTGCCACAGCATGACGCCGGGGAAAGGGAGCTCCCGCCTCAGGATCCCCTCTGGAGAGCAGGGGGTCCTGCCATGCTGAGGGTCCTGATCCTCGCCCTGCTCTGGAGGGGTAAGTAAGCAGCCGCTGGAGCCCCAGTGCAGGGGGAAGGGCAGAAACTGCATTAAGCAGTGTCAGGTCTGTCCCAGAATGTGAAAGGGAGACTGGCCAGAGGGTGAGGGGAGCCCAGTGCCCCAGTTCGGTGCTAGGGGGCACTGAGTGACAGGGAGCCGACAGGAGGCTCCATGTAGGGAGGAACGAAAACTAAATGGAGTGAGAATTGGTCAAGGACCCAGGGCTGGGATCACATGGGGCTGTCAGTCGGGAGTGAGGGGCACTGATAGACCTCGACGGGGGGATTGATCTCAGGGCTGGGCTCGTAGGGGGCTGCAGGTCGGGAGTGAGGTGAACCTGCAGTGCTGGGGGGTGCCGCTCAGGGTTGGTCTCTGCTCTCTATGGGTCCTACTTCCATCCCTCCCCGTCCCCTGCAGGGTCCCTGTCCCAGCCACCTGGATTTACCCTGGTGGTGCCGCAGTCGGTGTCCGTGCAGGAGGGTCTCTGTGTTTTCATCTCCTGCAACTTCACGTACCCAGCCTCGTATGACACCGACAATCCCTCGGCCCAGCTAGACGTACAATGGTACAAGGAGCCTGCTACTGTGGGCCAGGATCCTCCTGTGGCCAGCAGTCTCCCCAGCGGGGGGGTGTCGCAGGAGACCCAGGGCCGGTTCCGGCTGACGGGGGATCCAGCGCTCGGCGACTGCTCCCTGCAAATCAGTGATGCCCGACAGACGGATGCAGGGAGATATTTCTTTTACATCGAGAAAGGCATGTTAGATCACACTTACCGCTCCAATTCCGATGGCACTGCCCCTGCGCTCACGATCTCTGTGCCAGGTAAGAGCAGCCGCAGTCACCGCTTGTGAGGGTCCCCCCCCACTCTGAACTCTGGGGTACAGATGTGGGGACCCACAGGAAAGACCCCTTAAGCTAATATTCCACCAGCTTAGATTAAAAACATCCCCAAGGCACAAATTCCTTCCCTTGTTCTTTGCCGGTATTGCTGCCACCACCACGTGATTTATGGAAAAATTCAGGGCAGGGTAACTTGGAATCCCTATCCCCAAATATCCCCCCAAGCCCCTTCACCCCCTTTCCTGGGGAGGCTTGAGAATAATATACCAACCAATTGGTTAGCAATGTGAGCACAGACCAGACTCTTTGTCTTCAGGACACTGAAAATCAATCAGGTTCTTAAAAGAAGAACTTTATTTTGCATATATAAAAGAATCACAGCTGCAAAATCAGTTTGGAAGGTAACTTCACAGGTTAAATAAAATATTTAATACACAGAGGATTCCCCCCGGGCCCAGCTTCACAGTTACAAAAACAGGAATCAAACTACATCTGTAGCATAGGAAAATTCACAACCTAAAACAAAAGATAACCTAACGCCTTACCCTGCCTACTGACAATTTCTGTGGGTTTAGATCTATTATTCTAGGTATATTTTCAGGAGATCTTGTACCTGCTTGGTCTGTCCCTCCATCCAGAGAGGGAACAACAAAGAGAGAGCAAGAAATAAATCCTCCCCCGACCCCCACAGATTTGAAAGTATCTTCTTTCCTCATTGGTCCATCTGGTAAGGCGCCAACTAGGTTATTTGAGCTGATTAATCCCTTACAGGGAAGGCGATTTAGTACAGCTGCCAAAGAGGGATTTTATGCTACTACATACAGAAAGTTTTTACTCTTTCCTCTATATTTATGACACCGCTCATCAGCCCCCCTGAGCCAGCCAGTCCCAGCCCAGGGGCCAGATCGGAGCTGGCGCCCCTAAAGGACAAGCGCCCCATGTCCCCGAGTGATTCTCTCCCCTCTCCCAATGTCTCAGAGCTGACGGAGGAGCCAGAGATCCAGATCTCGCCGGCGTGGGGGCTGCCAGGGATGCTGTTGGCCGGGGAGCCGGTTACTGTGACCTGCACGGCCCCCGGGCGCTGCTCCGGGTCCCCTCCCCAAGTCACCTGGACGAGGCCATTCAGCGACAGAGCCTGGAACGTCTCAGCCCAGCTGGCGAACGGCACCTGGGCCCACAGCTCCGAGCTCTGCTTCACACCCACCCTGTTGGACAATGGCAAGGAGCTTGTCTGTACCGTCACCTACAGCTCAGCACAGGGACCTTCCACCCGCAGAACCGTCCAGCTCCACATCGGCTGTGAGTGACCCCCCCCCAGCCCCTCCACGTCGGCCCAAGCTCCCTATGCTGGGATCCCACCCCTGGGGTCCCCAGCCCTGCCCTCCAGCCTCTCCCCCAACTCAGCCCTGTGCTGGGATCCCCACCCCCCACCACGCACCCTCAGCCAATTCTACTCCAGGCCCTTCCCTCCACACCTTGCAGCAACTTCTCTCTTGGGATCTTTTCCCCTTCCTGCCCCCCTTGGCTATAGCTCCCCCACTCATACTCAGCCCCAGGTCCCCAGGCCCTTCCCTTCTGGGATCTTCTCTACCCCTGTGTGGTGTTTCGATGTTGCTTGTAATTTAGGGTTACCATACGTCCGGATTTTCCCAGACATGTCCGGCTTTTTGGGGCTCAAATCCCCGTCCGGGGGGAAATCCCCAAAAGCCGGGCATGTCCGGGAAAATCGGGAGGGAGGGAGGGATCGGCCGGGGCCTCTTTGGCTGGGGTCGGCGGTGCGGGG